GATACTTGAAGGCTGAGTTTAGTGACAGTCATTTGTCCCACAAGATGGGGCTCTCTAATGTGGACTTGATAATGCATGCATGCAGAGATATTCCAGGAATTGATAATTTAGGCATGCAGTAGTATTCCAGGAATTGGTAATGGGCATGCACTACTATTCCAGGAATTGATAATTTATGCATGCCAGGATGTTCCAGGAATTGATCATTTAGGCATGCACTGACATTCCAAGAATTGGTAATGGGCATACACTGATATTTAAGGAATTAATAATCTAGGCATGCACTGGTATTCCAGGAATTGATAATTTAGTCACACAGTGATACGCCAGGAACTGATAATTTATGCATGCTCTGATATGCCAGGAATTGATATTGGGTATGCACTGGTATTCCAGGAGTTGATAATTTAGTCATGCAGTGATAGTCCAGGAACTGATAATTTATGCATGCAGTGATAGTCCAGGAATTGATAATTTATGCGTGCAGTGATATTCCAGGAATTGATAATTTACGCATGTACTGGTGTTCCAGGAATTGATCATTTATGCATGTAGAGATATTCCAGGAATTGATAATTTAGGCATGCAGTAGTATTCCAGGAATTGGTAATGGGCATACACTACTATTCCAGGAATTAATAATTTATGCATGCCAGGATGTTCCAGGAATTGATCATTTAGGCATGCACTGACATTCCAAGAATTGGTAATGGGCATATACTGATATTTAAGGAATTAATAATCTAGGCATGCACTGGTATTCCAGGAATTGATAATTTAGTCACACAGTGATACTCCAGGAACTGATAATTTATGCATGCTCTGATATGCCAGGAATTGATATTGGGTATGCACTGGTATTCCAGGAGTTGATAATTTAGTCATGCAGTGATACTCCAGGAACTGATAATTTATGCATGCAGTGATAGTCCAGGAATTGATAATTTATGCGTGCAGTGATATTCCAGGAATTGATAATTTATGCATGCAGTGATAGTCCAGGAATTGATCATTTATGCGTGCAGTGATATTCCAGGAATTGATAATTTATGCATGCAGTGATAGTCCAGGAATTGATAATTTATGCGTGCAGTGATATTCCAGGAATTGATAATTTATGCATGCAGTGATAGTCCAGGAATTGATCATTTATGCGTGCAGTGATATTCCAGGAATTGATAATTTATGCATGCAGTGATAGTCCAGGAATTGATCATTTATGCATGCAGTGATATTCCAGGAATTGATAATTTACGCATGTACTGGTGTTCCAGGAATTGATCATTTATGCATGCAGTGATATTCCAGCGGCTACTGCTGTGTTCCAAACCACCCCCAATCCTAGTGGCTCAAAAATAAACATTTCTGTTGCTTGCAGTTTTGGGGCACAGGAATCTGGGCGGTTCTAGCTCTGGGTGTCCTGTGCAGTTGCAGCTCAGGCTTCTGTTTACCTGACGGCTCACCTGCAGCTGGATGTCCACATGGCTTGCTTCATTGCTGGGAAGTTGGTGCTGCCCAGCACTTGGGCTCAGCTAGGATGGTTGACCAGATGACCCCAGGAGTTCTCTCCAATATGGCGGTCTCAGGGGCACCAGCCAGTCTTCTTTTTTTTTCAACCTTTTTAAAAATTTTTAACATATGATGTATTACTTGTTTCAGGGGTACAGGTCTATGATTCATCAGTCTTACACAATTCACAGCACTCACCATAGCACGTACCTTCCCCAATGTCCATCACCCAGCCACCCCATCCCCCCCACCCCCCACCACTCCAGCAACCCTCAGTTTGTTCCCTAGAGTTAAGAGTCTGTTATGGTTTGTCTCCCTCTCTGGTTTCGTCTTGTTTCATTTCTCCCTCCCTTCCCCTATGGTCCTCTGTCTTGTTTCTCAAATTCCTCATATCAGTGAGGTCATATGATACTTGTCTTTCTCTGACTGACTTATTTTGCTTAGCATAAAACCTTCTAGTTCCATCCATGTCGTTGCAAATTCCAGCCAGTCTTCTTAAATGAAACTGGTTCCCCCCAGCATTCCTAGCAACCAGGTGGGAGCCGCAGGGTCTTTCCTGACCAAGCCTTGTCACACTGCTGCTACATTCTACTTATTACAGAAAGTTAATGAGATGCCCAAGATCCGAGGGTGGGACACAGACTCCATCTCCCGAGGAAGCAAGTGTCAAAACCATGTGGAGGCTTGTTTACAGCTGCCTTGAGCTTGGGTTCCCTCTCAACCAGCCTCGTAGAAGCCCAGTGTTCGTGATGAGCCTGGCTCGCCCAACTAGGAATCTGTAATCCTCTAGGCATGGACAGAGTTCTGCTTATCTGGCTTCATCACGCTGAATATAATAATCAAGAAAATGACATCACCAGGGAGGTGTTTACCTGTTCTCAAAATGCCAGACTTCACATCCGCTTAACGCCATGGATGCCAAGTGCCCTTTGGGAATGTTTTCTTAGCTTAGTTGAGTGACTGTGGATATTCTTAAATATACCTTTTTTAAAAAAAAATTTTTATTGTTATGTTAATCCCCATACATTACATCATTAGTTTTAGATGTAGTGTTCCATGATTCATTGTTTGTGCATAACACCAAGTGCTCCATGCAGAACGTGCCCTCCTCAATACCCACCACCAGGCTAACCCATCCTCCCACCCCCCTCCCCTCTAGAACCCTCAGTTTGTTTCTCAGAGTTCATCGTCTCTCATGGTTCGTCTCCCCCTCCGATTCCCCCCCCTTCATTCTTCCCCTCCTGCTATCTTCTTTTTTTTCGTAACATATATTGCATTATTTGTTTCAGAGGTACAGATCTGAGATTCAGCAGCCTTCTGCAGCAGAGTCTTAAGTACAAAGTAACAACCCGTAACTGGTACTCAGTACACAGTAACTCCTTGGTAAATACTTGTTAATTAAATGGGAAAAGTAGGTGAGCCAAAATCAGCATCAGGTCTTTCTACTAATTTTAAATAATGAGAGAAGAATCAGCATGAAAATGGAAATCCTTGAACATATCCCTGAAAATAAGGCTTACTTCACTGCTAATAGTTAGTATATATCTCATTTAAGTTTTTTTTTTATTCAATGTGTAAGACCCCATGTGGCTTCATTTCCCCCAGTTATGTCCTCTCCCTGTAGGTCCTCTCCTTGTAGGTCCACCTGAGTGATGTTTTATAGTAGTAAGCTCAGGGGACACTTTCAATCCCCTGGACTGTTTTCAGAGGGCTGAGCATTCAAGGGACATGAAGAAAAGCACTTAGCATAGCAGGTGTGTATGGGATGAGGTCATGGGCTCTCATTTCTACCTCTTTAATGAGACTTACCACCTTACTGCACCCAAAACACTATATTGGTGCTGTGAAACCCACAGCCTGTCAGACATTTCCTTTGCCCTGAGCACCCCACAAGTGATAAGCCTGCATGGAGGCCGGATGCGTAAGGTCGTAAATGCACAAAGTGCATCCTGAGTGGGCGCAGGTGTGATGGGGCATGCATTGTGACCTGTGTGCGCAGTAAGGGACCCTGCAATCCAGCTGGAAAACTGTCTACATGTATGGAAAAGCACAGAGAATGACATGTAGAAATGCCTACGCATGCACACCAAATGCACATGTACATATGCAAATATATATATGTGCACATGGAAGACACATAGACACAAACAGATACATAGATGCAAATACATATACCCAGAGATGCATACACATGAAATATGAGCATGTACAAATGCACACACAAATAAGTATGTATGCCTTGGTGCATGCAAATCCTACACAAATAGATTCACTTGCAAATTCAAAATATGCACCAACACAAAAACTTGCAGGAATGCCGTGCAAATGGCCATATTGGTATGCATGCATTACACGTAAATACGTATGCAAACAAATAAGCTGTGAACACTGAGGCATATTCAAATACCTTTGCTCACACACTTATAAATACAAGCCCATTTTCATATGCAAACACACACATAGATATATTTGCATAAATACATATGTATGTGCATACAAGTGTGCCTGAAAACATATAAGCACATATGTTTGTATATGTTTGTGTGTGGTTATGTGTGCACATGCATGCAAATGCATATAAGCGCCTGCAACATATGCAAACATATCTGCAATAAATGTACAGATGCACACAGAAGACATGTGAAATACACCTACATCCATACACATACGAGTAGATAAGCACAAGTACATACATGTACTCCAACAGATGCACATGCAAGCATGCTGGGTTGCTCCAGGACACGGACCGATCCGGGACAGGCATGTTTCCTGCACATGCGGGAGCCAGCATCCATGGAAGGGATGTGGGGACGGGGCATTAGCTGAGCTTTGCCCTGATGGGGGTAGAGTTGTTCTGAGCTTGGGGGAGAATGCCAGAAGCAAGCACAGAGCATACGAATGTGTTGGTGGATTTTGATGAATGTGTTGGTGGAATAACAGGGCTGGACTGGGGTCTGGGGCGGGAACGGCCAGTGTGCATACTTGGGTCAGTATTTTGCACAGGGCACCCTGAAGAATGAATCCATTTCTGGAATGCCCTGTGAATTGGGGGGGGTGCCATGGCAACATGAGTTTGGGGAACTCGGCTCTGGGCTCCATCCGCCCCACCCTGTGGACCACAGGACATCCGTGTCCCAACGTGTCCGGGAAGCTCCTCCAACAAGGGAGTCTTTGTTTGTACAGACAGCTGTTCTGTCCAGAAGAACTAACTTCCCGGGGCCGGCGGGGGGGCACCTTTTGGTGATTCAGGACATTCTCACATTCTTCTACATGCTGGACAGCAACATTGCAGGTGCCGTCTTCATGTCCTGGCACCTTTCCCACTGTGTACGCAGCAGGAACCTGAGGCCCAGGAAGGTGACATGGCAGTGAGGACCAGAGCCCATCCTCCTGGCTGGCGCCCGGCCATGCGTCCCCGTCCCTGGAGCCCGTCTGTGGAACGGCTCCCCCATCTCATGTCATAACTCTCCCTGAAATCCCCTTTGTTCCAGCCGGGGTGATGATGGTCCCTCAGAGGAAAACCAGGGATGGATTTGAGGAGCACTTTGGGCTGAACTACCTGGGGCACTTCCTGCTCACCAACCTCCTCCTGGACACCATGAAGGAGTCTGGATCTCCGGGTTGCAGCGCAAGGGTGCTGACCGTCTCGTCGGCCACGCATTACATTGGGGAGCTGAACATGGATGACCTTCAGGGCAGGTGGGTGCTCTCGGCCGACCGTCCAGGGGGCTCAAGGTTGCCCGTCAGCCTGGCGAGCCTGACATGGTGACACGTGGGGCACGGTGCTCAGCATCACAGGAAAACGGTGCACCTCACCGACCAGTGTTTGTTATAAACCTGTCTTACGAATAATCATAATGACTATTAGCTACTAATTATTTACTATTTTGCACTTAAGCACTTTATCTATACCCGCCCATGAATACAGCACAGACATGCTTTTAAGTAAACACTACTATCCTCATTTTACACGTGACGAAATCAAAGCATATGCTTTTTAAAAAATATATATATATATCTTCCTTAATATCACTAGGCAATCACTCAGAGTCAAAATTCTATCCCAGCACAACAGTACAAAACCACTGATTTAGACTCAGCTCTGTTATCAGAATCATTGAAAAACTCCGTGCAAACATTTTGTCATGTTCTTTGTTACTGTATCCTCAAACGCATATTTTGTTTTTAGCATTTTTTTATTGAGGTATAATTGCTATAGCTCAATAATTATGTTTGTATCTCAATATTATAATTGTTATGTAACATTATATATGTTATAACATTATAATGTTGTGATTATAATTGTTACATAACATGTTATACACATGTAACTATAATTGTTACATAACGTATATGTATAACATAGTGTTGTAATTATATAATATATGATGTTATATGTAATTATATCATATTATATATAATTATATAATGTATATAATGTTACATAACTATATGTTATAACATACTGCTATATGTTATATGACAATGTTGTTATATAATATAACATGTTATAGTGTAACTATAATTGTTATATATAACCCATATATATAACATAGTGTTGTAATTCTAATTATTATATAACATATATGTTATAATTGCTATATAACACACATATTACAATGCTTCATTGTTTTAATTGTTATACAGTGTAACATTGTATATGTTACAATGTTACAATGTTATAATTGTTATATAATGTGACCTCCTATATGTTGTAACACAATGTTTTAATTGCTACATAATATGATATTATGTTAGTGTCAGGTGTAGAAGGTGATGATTTGCTACTTCCGTGTATCCTGAAATAATCACCATAGGAAGTGCACTTAGCAACCATCATCATCAAATCACATGCATCGTATTCATCATCAAATCACATGCATCGTATTCATCATCAAATCACATGCGTCGTATCCTCGGGCAGCTTAGCTGTGTGATGTTATTTTTTTTGGTAGAAAAACTGGAAAGACAGAAGTTGGGCACGGAGTGGGTATCAGAAGTAATGACACATTCTCCTTTGCTTGTCATTGCAAGTGCAACCTGCTAACTCCGTGTGGTGCATCCGGGTGACTCCTGCTGGTGTGGGAGGCACCACATTCTTATCTGTGTTTCCCACTATCTCCTCCTTAAGGGTACAAGAGTCCATGAGTGTGAGTGGGGTGCGTGTTTATGTTTGTGTGTGTACAGCCCTAACTGTGCTTGGAAGGACCTGGATGCTTGGTCGAGCGGGGCTCGCGTTCCAGGATGCGCACTGGGGTGGGCGCCCTCAGCACCCGGGCCTGCGGACGCATGGAAGGAAGGTGGTCCAGCTGTGCAGCCCTGGGTCTGCTTTACGGTGTCGCGTTCCTGCCTAGCAAAGGGCCAGCTGCCGGGAAAGCAGGGCTGGGGTCTTCCCAGGGTGTTCTCACCCATCTGATAGTCAACCTGGCTCCTGCGTGGATGGGTGGGTTCTGTGCTTGTACCTGTGGGGTCAGGGAGAACCCTCACTGGGATTTCCCCTTGGGGGCAAGAGGGTGGGAATGCATCTGTGCCTCCTGGGGGCAGGTGGCTCCATGAGGAGGGACTTGGGGAAGGGGTTGCCCAAGTGCTTGTGTCCCCAGGCAGCCTTGCAGGACCAGCCTGTGCACAGAGGAAGTGAGTGAAGCAAAGGCACGGGGGTGGGGGACAGCTGTGCTGCTGAGGGGCTGCTCCTTTGTGATGCCCTAAGGGAGCTCGGGAAAGGTATGTGTGTGCACCAGGGTGCAAGTGCATGTGTGTGAGCATGTGGGCACGCATGTGTGCATGCATGTGAGTGTGGCTGTGCAGTCCTCCGTTTGTGCACGAATGTGTGTGCATGTGTGTGAGTGTGTGCATGAATGTCCTTGCAGCTTTGCATACAAAAAATCAAATAACAGGCACTGAGCTGCATCACTTTCTTTGCTAAATGTTTATTAAAAGATAGTGAGGGGCGCCTGGCTGGCTCAGTCAGTTACGCGTCCAACTCTTGATTTCAGTTCAGGTCAGGACTTCAGGGTCGTGGGATAGAGTCCTGCATTGGGTTCTGCGCTCAGCGGGGGTCTGCTTGTCCCTCTCTCTCTACCCCTCCCACCCTGCTCTCTCACGCTGTCTCTCTAAAATAAATAAATCTTAAAAAATTAAAATAAAAGAGAATGAGATCACTCAGGGTGCCAGTTTTTGGAGTGTGGTCCCCAGGCCAGCAGCATCAACATCCCCTGAAAAGTTACTAGAAATGCAGATGCTGAGACTGCACCCCAGACCTGCTCAGTCCAAACCCTGGGGGTGGGGAGCCGGGCAGTCAGACTTCTAATAAGCACTCTAGGAGATTCTGATGCACGTTAAAATTTGAGAACCACTTGGGCTTAAAACACTCTGCTTTGCTGCATGAAAAGACTTGGTCCTCGACTTCCACCTGATGTAAACATCGCTGGTGGTTAGTGATAATTGCCAAGACTGATTTGCTGGAAATTCGTGTTCTTGTAAAGGCTTAAATCACAATATTATAAAGCGTTCCAGAATCCAAGTGGGCTGTTACCCATGAGAAGGTTTGTCTGCTCAGGTAGGCTGTGCCAGAACATTCCTCCACTAGAATACTTCCCCAAAGGAAAAGATGGGCAGAGCTCTTGAAAATTGTTTGTAATCACTGAAATTGACTCATGAAGAAATGGATAGCTTTGTCGAAAAAGGAGTTTCATTTTGCAGGAGGAGGGTAAAAGTATCATTTAAGTTAAAAACATATATGTAAATATTTATAGATATTTTATATGTATGTATGAGACAGAGAGAGATGGGTTGATTTGCTTTAAGGAATTGGCTCACAGATTGGAGGGATTGCCAAATCCAAAATCTGCAATGTAGACCAGCAGGCTAGAGATGCAACTAAGAGTCAGTGTTCCCATCTTGAGCCAAAAAACTGATAATTCGGGCAGAATTTCCAGGCTACACTCTTGAGGCCAAATTCCTTCTTCTTTGGAGGAGAACGCTCTCTTTCCTCTTCGGGCCTTCAACTGATTAGACAAGACCCACCCACATTATGGAGTGTGACCTGCTTTGCTCCAAATCTTCTGATTTCAGTGTTAGTCCCATCTAAGAAAATACCTTCCCAGCAATGTCTAGGCTGGTGTCTGACCAAGCCGTTGGGCACCGTAGCGCAGTCGGCCCTACCCGCTACCTGCCCTGCACCCCGGCTTGTCTGGGTGCTCAGCCTCCTGCAGCCATCGGCCGCCTGGGACCAAAGAGGTCCTCGATGGGTCTTGTCTGAGCTGCCCCAGCTTTGATCATGCCCTGAGGGTGACTGCTCCTGGGGAAGCCCATTGCATCTCCGCTGAGGACAATTCATGCTCTGATTATCTTATGAGCCTCACCTCCTAAAACACGTGGCTGTGTACTAGGATGCCCTGGGTGAGGAAGGACATGGCGCCATGCTGTCTGCCCTCCTCAGCCCCAAAGCAGGCGAGTGCCCCTGTCCTGGTTCCTGTCCTCAGGACAGGCGAGGGTGCTTCCAGGTGCAAGGGTAACAGAACCTCCTGGAACAAGAAATGGCTACTCCAGGTGTCACTAACGAAGATGCTCCTCTGGGTAAAACTGATGAGTGGGTGTCCATGCATCATGGGGCCTTGTCCACAAAGATCCTCCCCATGGGTTCCTCTCCCCGCAAAACACTTGCTTCTTGGGGTGCCTGGGTGGCTCAGTCCGTTAAGCATCTTACTTCAGCTCAGGTCATGATCCCAGGATCCCTGCTTCTCCCTTTCCCTTTGCCCGCAGTTCCCCCCTGCTTGTGCTCTCTCTCTCAAATAAATAAAATCTTAAAAAACAAACAAGCTTGCTTCTTAGCGGCTCACATTCAAGGTGGAAGATTTGCTTGTTCTATATTCGCTTCCCCTCTTCTTGCAAAGATGGAACAAATTAACATCCTCGGGAAAGTGCACATTTTTGGGCTGCATACCAAGCAACTTTGATTTCATGCAACAGCTTGTGCTCATTGTGTGGGTGTCCTGGGGCGGCCGTAACAAAGGACCAGAGACTGCATGGCTTAGAACCACAGGAGTTTATTCTCTGCCAGTTCTGGAGGCTGGACCTCTGAGATCCAGGCAGGGCCCGGCTGGTCCCTTCCTGAGGCTCTGGCAGAGAATCTGTTCCAGGCTCCTCTCCGGAGTCCTGGTGATGGCCAGCAAATTTTTACATGTGCATACCCCCAGCTCTGCCTCCATCCTCACAGGACCATCTTCCCCCTGTGCACCTGCACGTGATCTTCCCTCTGCACATGCCCTTCAGTGCCCAAATTCCTTTTTTTATAAGTTCACCAGTCATATAGGGTTAGAGCCCCATTCTAAAGACCTCACGTTAACTCAGTGGCCCCTCTAAAAACCCTATTTCCATGCAAGGTCGTATTCTGCGATCCTGGGGGTAGGACTCCAACACATCTTTCTTGTGGGGGACACAATTCAATCCATAAGGGTCCCTATGCATTGTTCCCAAGGTGACGGATCCTTAATCTCTTCCGGAACTGTTTCTTCCAGGCTGACCTCACTTTGGAGCAATAATCCTTGAGATGTTACAGGCATGTGTGTGCATCCCGGGGAAAATACCTATTTCGGCTTGAGTTTCCCAAACTTTTTTAACTTCGGGGAGAGCTAATCCATCCATCCATTTGTAAGCACATATTCACGGCCTCTTACATCACTGTTTGTGAAACCCCATGC